ATGCTCATCTGACAGAACAGCGGCCTGCTGACCGGTACTACACGCCTTCCCTCTCTCTCCTCCCATTTGCTGTCTGCCCACCGTCAAAAATTAAGGCCACTGATGCAAAAGGAGTCTTTGAAAAAATAACTGAACCCAGTTAAGTTATATGAATGTACTTTTATTTACCGTCAACCGACCCAAACAACATGCCATCATGTAAATAAATTCAAACCACAGCCTTTGTTCATGGAACAGCTTCAGACATTTACGACATTTGATTCCCTTAAAGGATTCATTTTAGGGTTTTATGAATCGGATTATTCAAAGGGAAATCAACTTGAATCGATACAAATTTTATTTGCTCTGCTTTGCATCATGGACTCTACACAAAAGAATGAATTCAAACATAGTAGCTGATTGAGCTTCAGACACGGTGCACCAGCGGTTTACTGTCCTTCCTAAACTCACTTCACTCCTCATTTTCCCTTTTAATGAGAGGCCAGAATGACTGCAACAGAAATTAGACTAAATCTCACCAATACTTGGTCTGTCTCAAAATAATGGAATTATTTGAGGCTGAACCGTCTCTCCTAAATCAGTTATTCAGGAAGTGTTTATATAAATTCAGATCCTACTTTAAAGTAAAGCAGCTCAGTGAGCTGTTCGTTCGTTTTTAAAAAGAAAACAGACACTAGAATGAATCTGTTGCTGTGACCAAAGAACAGCAGCCTGGTGTTTTAGAGACTGAAACCAACAACAGGGTCACATTTGAAGAGAACATCTTCATCTTTGGTACGCCCTCATTTTCCCCCCACTTCTCTCAAATGTTCAATATTTCCCTATCTGGTATAACTGCCCATAAAACACGTCAAGCTTATATTTACAAAATGTACCAAGGGCCTCATCACACCTTGATGGTTTAGCCAGCATATGCCCGACGTCCCACAATCTCCTAAAAACGCTGGCATACGCTGAACTTTCTATGGATTTATTTCAATGTGTTATACATAGCGTATTGATAATGAGTTCAACTCTTATCTCCATAGACAGCCTAGCTTATGCACAACTGATCCACAAGCATCATTTCACTGGCATTACGCTGCATCAGTTAAAGCTGCTTCACTCAGGCGCGTCGCTGCCCTGAGGGGAGCAGCCATGTCCGTCCAACCGAAAAAAAGAATAAATAAATAAAAAGAGCAGATTGCAGCAGATTCAGCCTAATGTCTGCTAGGAAGTTTATTGGTCATAGGCTTGAACGCTGGGAGGATCCATTACACTCACCTTCTGGCTCACCTTATGATGGGGATGGAGTCTGGAGAAGTTACTCAGATTTAGGATAAGCTCTATGCCATGAACCCATGAGAAGGATCAGATAACTTAGCTGTAACTCCGCTCTGCTATTGTTGCCCCACGTATGAGAATACGCTGGAATACGTCGGGAAAGTTTAAGCATGCTCAAAACCTTGACGTACCTGCCGTAGGTCGACGTGTTTCAGCAGGCTTCAGTGTGCTCATAACTTATCCAAAACATACCCATAATTTATGCCACGTATGCCAGCGTTTTTTTTTGTACATCAGGCTGGTCTAAATCGTCAAGGTGTGGCGAGGGCTTTAGATACATGGAAAAGTTTCAGCATCTGTTTCAATGTGGGCTGTATTCTTAACAGATGGACAGAAATCCAAGCAGTCCTGGCTGCTTTTCTTCCTCTGTTGGTTTGCAGATGGTGTTAAAGATGTGCCAGTTTGTCATTGTTCTTCAACTTGTTGTTTATTTAACAATCAAGTTTCATCTTTAGCAGTAAGTTAAAGTTACACTTTCTGATCATTTAAAAAAACCTATGAAACATAATATTGAACCTGAAAATGATCTCATGTCTTTCTTATGAAATGTCCACCTCTAGCCAAGCAAACATACATAATCAGGACAAGAGTAGTGTTGGAACAAAGACAAGACTTTAGCTGCATTCTACCTCAAAATGCAGGAAATAGCGTTTCAGAGAGTCTACCTTTCAACATTTTCCGGGGGAGGATACCCCCCTACCCCACGCATAGCCTAAAAATGTGATACACCCAGCTGTACACCTTATGAAATATTCCTAGCTAAAATCCTTATTGATCCTTGAGGATAGAACAGATTTCTGCAGATGAGGTTGATTTAATGGTTTTCTGTCAGTCTTTGTGTGGAGCTGTTGGGACTGTAAGCTGCTTGTCTGCTGTCTGCCTTCCTCTGTCGCTGTCGCCCCGTTTCCCTCTGCCGCCTCTCTGACATCCATCTGTCCGTCTCCCTCCTATCTCTCTGTCCATCCAGGCTGGATTGATGTAACCTGGGATGCTAGCGGATGCTCTAACTCTTACCGTATGGGCGCTGAAGGGAAGTTTGACCTCAAGCTTGCTCCAGGGTATGACCCTGAGTCGGCTGCCACAGCGCCAACACCCAAACCTGTCTCATCCACTGTTTCAGGTCCCGCCTCATCCACGGTGGGACCCTCTGTGACAGCAGCGGCCATGGGCAGAACCAGCACCACATCAGCATCGTTGTCCTCCACCTCATCTTCCTCCCAACAACCTTCTTGGAGCAGCCTGGTGAAAAATAACTGTCCTGACAAAATCGGGGCCAGCTCTTCTAGCAGGAAAGGAAGCAGCAGCTCGGTCTGCAGCGTGGCCTCATCCTCTGACATCAGTTTGAGCTCCTCTGCTGGGATGCTTAGTGGAGGGAGTCTGAAGGCGGAGGGGCTGCTCCTTGACCAGGGGGTGGGCTCAGGAGGACTTTCTGGAGGACCAGGCTGTGATGGACATCAGCAGGAGCCTATTGTGGTTCTGTCCTCGGCTGAGGCGGGATGTGGATCGGGGTCCAGCTCTGGGACGCTCACAGCGGACATATCTGTGACTGGAGATGAGCACCAGTCCCCCACGACAACGGCTAGCACCGACCCAGCGACTGCCATCTCCATGGGACTGGTGAGTGTGAGCTCGCCGGACGTGAGCTCAGTGTCCGAGGCATCCAGCAAGGACACGCACTCCCAGAGGCCTCTGTGCTCGGCAGCAAACACCCGGCTGTCCGTCAGCTCCCTGCTGGCCGCCGGCGCCCCCATGAGTTCCAGCGCCAGTGTACCCAACCTGTCGTCCCGCGAGGCCAGCCTCATGGAATCCTTTGTTCGCCGTGCGCCCAACATGTCCCGAACCAACGCCACCAACAACATGAACCTGAGCCGCAGCAGCAGTGACAACAACACCAACACCTTGGGCAGGAACGTCATGAGCGCTGCCAGTGAGTACTGACACGTTAGCATGCTAATGCTGCTGCGGTATGCACCGCTTCCTGCTCCGCTAATAACAAAGCATCACTTAGAGGCAGTCGGGGGGATTAGGGGGTTTGGTTGAGAAGATCAGTGTTTCGTCTTGTTGTTGATGTCAGATCTCATCACTCTTGTTGCTGCATGTTGCCGAACCGCTACGTTCAGTTATCCACAAGGAGACCGAATAAATTGTTTGACGGACACAGGTGCTAACGGTCACACATGAAAGTGAAATTCGATAGCAGAGAAGGAGCAGCTGAACTCATCAGCTGTGGGCCCAAGGTGACGGAACAATGGGACTAGCAGCAGGTCCAATAACGTCTTTAGTTCATCGATATTGATTGTACAACAGGGCATTAGGGCCACCCTAGAGATTTTTTCTTTAATATGAGAATAAAGTCCCAACATTATGAGAATAATATTTTGTGTGTTTTTTATGACAACTCTTAGAAGAAGCACTGTCTTCCCTAAAATGAGGAATGTTGAGCATCCTGTGAAGTTAAACGTTGGCATCAATTTGACAAATAATGAAATGTTGAGACAAAGTGGATTCGGGTTGCTGTTTGGTGGTCCTGGTCGGCCATCAGATGCTCAAATCTTTCTTTCTGAAACGGTAT